CTAAGTGTACTTTATATCCTTAGCGGTGTAAATGCAATAATTCAAATAAATCAATATAATCAAAGATAATTATGCGCAAGTGATATTATTTAAAGTGATAAGATAAATTTTTAAGTATTATTGATTTGATACAATAACTATATGGAACAAGTTATTTTGCTAGCTGTACCATGATCAATTGATGCTTTATTTTTGAGAGCAAGAGCAGCTTTATATATACATTTTTTGAACTATATATTTTATAATTAAATAAATATAATCAATAATAAAGAACTATAAATAATGTTAAATATTGATAAGTATTGTTAAATAATAATAAATAATGATAAATAATGATAAATAATGATAAATAATATTAATTAATGATAATTAATATTAAATAATGTTAAATAATGATAAATAATATTAAATAATGATAATTAATATTAAATAATGATAATTAATATTAAATAATGTTAAATAGAAATAATAATAAAATATAAGTTATTTTTAAATCGTAACATTTGCCTCCCCTAAAAGAAAATGAGCTCCTGCGAGTATTAAATCTAATTCCACCATTCTTCTATTTTATTAATTAGCTGCTGTAATTCTTCGTAGTCGAGACGTCCCAGTTTTAAAAAGGTTCCCCTGGGTACAGTAAAAAGAAATTCAGGATTTGTTGAGAATGTGGAACTCAACCATTCTGCCATTCGGAGTCGCATTATTTTGGTTTTCAATCTGGGTTTTTCCCCTTCTACAATTATGTATTCGAATTTGTCGAATTGGGTGAGATCTTCCGTTATTCGACTTATTTGTTCACCAATTAATGTTAGGCAGTATAATTTTTGTCCATCATTTTGTTGTACTCGCGCATATTTGTTCCAATTTTCTTTATATTTTTCTATCATTAATTTGGGGTCGGTTTTTATGTTCGATTTTTCTTTTCTTTTGTGTTTGTTTTTCTTGTTTTGTTTACTTGCATTTTTAAATATTTTATTCATTTCATTTATTTTTCGTTCCTTTTCTTGTTGTATTTGGTCAGTTGATGTTATTTCTACATTCGTTGGTGACTGAAAAGGAATGGTCATTAATTCTATAGTGGAAAAATCGATTTGATCATTTATTTCTAAAATTGATTGTTGAG